GTGAATAAATTCGACTTATGAGTCTGAAACTTCCAATTCTATACACATATTCAAAGAACTTAATTACAGGAATTAAGCTTGCTTCTACATCAGACAACGAGTTTGTCTTGCGCAACAACAACAGTTCTGAAGTTTTATATACCATTTGAATTGCTAATGAAATAGCCCAATTTCTCTATAATGACCATTAAAGTTTCATCTAATTGGCCATATCACACCCATTTCATTCCTTTATAAATTTCAACAGACCCATATTGTGAATTTCTTACCTAAGGCCATCTTCTAACCAGGAGTCATTTTAATTGCCACATTGCCATCTGGTGTATGGATGAAGTGTCTGTATCACAGCCATTTCAAAGCTATCAGTAGAATTTTTTTCACACAAAAGTCTAACATAAGGGCCCTGAGCTAGATGAAAGTTTACACCTCCTTCCTAAACACTCTGAGGTTGTGTTATTTGGCTAGGAGCTTCAGCCCAGTTAGTCTCATTCGACATTATGTATCATCAGTGTGTCTAAAGCTGGCCACATAAAAACAGACTGCATTATTTACTATCCTCTGTAAAAAATAAAATAAAAAGTTGTATGTTTCTTGGTGTTAGATTTATGTTGCTGTACTAAGAAATAAATATTGAGGGTTAAATAGTCAGTTAGGATCTGAGTGCACCATTAGTAGTAGTAGTAGTAGTATGAGTATAGTATTAGTCTATAGTATCCTCATTGTTATGATTATTGGTTTATTTTGTTTTTTAAATCCTTTACTCTAACACTTATTTGCTATTGAATTTCGGCAATATACACCATATATGAAATATTTTTTAAATCCACTGCTTCTTCTACACCTAAAAATGCTGACATAATTTGGAGTCAGACATTACCATTGCACAATGATGTTGTCAACAAAGCTTTTTGTTTGGTATTAGACATCCTGAGAAGAGGTCACAGACAGCCATTTGTATAAAAACATATTGGCAGTCATAATTGATTTAAGAATACACCCTATAGATCTAGATTAATATTGTCAAGCAACATCATTTTATTTAATCCTGACAGATTTTTTTTAAATAGCTATTCCTCTGCTAAACCACAACTTCACACTTCAGTCCAGTTGGTGGCAGTAGTGCACAAAAAGCTGGTATGACTACTGCCAATAAACATCAATGAAAATATATAGACTATAACACAAACATACCTTACACTTCACTTGTAACACATATAATACTCTAAGTAGTGTCAGGACATTGTGGACAGACAAGATGGAACTAAAGGGTCATGTGTTTCTGCTCTCCCTCTCTAAATTCAGATTTTTAGCCTACTCAGATAAACAGTTATCACCAACTTGTGTCACCTGAGTTGTATGTTTGTCCTAGTTGTCCTTACCCAAATCCTAATTTCATTACAATTTTCTTTATAAGGGAAAAAATGTAGCCATAGAGCTCAACTTCACACTCAAACCAAACTTGGAACAGCAAGAGGGACATTTGTGCAACACAAGACCAAAAGTAAAACTAACCAACTGTATAAATATACTCTCATATTTCACATGCATGTCAAATAGAAGTTAGATAGATAATCAATGTGAAGATCTGTGGAACAGGGACAGACAGGCTGCAGCATGCATCTCTATGACTGCATATGAATCACAGCGTGATAATCTGACTGCTGAACCTGAGCCAGACATCTCACATACCACACACACAAAACACACACACACACACACACACACACACACGGCTTGGGTGCTCCCAACGGTAGATGCACCGAAACTTGCAAAGTGACAACAGTAGTTTCTACATTAACTCCCCTCTGCTCTGTTTTCTCTCTATATCACTGCAGTGAAATCATTCATTTACACTTGAATGTGACAGAAATCGATACAGCAAAAACACCAACAGTGGATATCAGCCCACAGTAAATATAAAGTAAGGAGTATCAGTGTGGTGTGGTCTGAAATACAGAAAATGTACACAGAAATATTTCTCTTGAAAGAAAAGGAGCGAAACAGAGACAAAGTGATCTATAAGGAAGAAATTAGTTTAAAATTAAGATATGAAATCCTTATCGTAGGATGGAAACAAATTGTATTACACTTTGAATATACTGAATGGTCCAATACAGAAGTTCTTCAGCATTGATAACAACCTACAAACTCATTAATTAGCTGTTGGCTGTTTTGGATATTGTTACATTGAAACTAATAACCTATCAGGTACACAGGTAGGGTAATTGCAGAGGAAGAAAATATGAAAATGGCATGTTTTTTGTCTATGGGCTGCAAAACTTTGTATGCAGTTTATCTGCAGCTGCACATTGACACTACATAACAATGTTTATTGAGTGTGCAGATTTTGTGTTTGTAGAAATTTGGCACGCTGCTTTTTAAGAGAGCAGAAAAAAGGAAAGACAGGAAGCTGAAGAACACAGGTGCAGGACGTCGTGGCACAACAGTAGCGCATCTGACTTTAGATCAGAAGGTTGCATGTTTAAATCACATTGGGGTCATTGGTTTTCAAGATGAAACAGGACAGCACTCACTCCACTGATGTACCCTGTCAAACCTGTGTCTCCAGCTGAATCTACCCAGACTCTGTAGTTCACATGTGAGGAGATAAATCTGATTACATGTGGCTCATTGGCTTAAATGAGACAAATGTTGTTGTTCCACCTTATTAAAGCTAAAGGGATTCTTTGCTTTATGTTAAGTGATATATAAACTTTGTTTGAAAGTGTTACCATCTGGCATACAAAATGTACAACAACATAAAAGAGAAAACCTAATTAGGTTTTTATAATGTGATAGTATGAAGACAGCACATTTTATTTATGACATTTCCAAAGGCAGTATACAAACATCTGTCTAGGCCCAGCACAGCCCAGGATGCCTGTGGAACTACTATATCCATCAGAAGAAGAACAGCGTTGTCATTCATGGGTTAAAATGAACAGGTCTGGTTAACTGTGTTCCTTCCTGTTAGTAGAGTAAAACAGGGACGGAGGCAGTAGCTGATACAGAGAACTGGACAGACTGGATTTTCTACTAACAAATACACACACACACACACACACACACACACACACACACACACACACACACACACACACACACACACACACACACACACACAAAGAAGAAAGCACCCATGCACCCACTGACACAAAAAGAAGTGTGTACACACTATTCCACTGGTGTAAAGTTCATTGTCCTAGCCCAAATCCTGCTGATCTATGCACTCTGTGTCATTTACAACATCTACCAACAGAGATGTAATACAGTAGTCAGTCTTGTGACCGTACTATCAATGTTTATTTTTGGGGCTGTGAAGGGTTTGACAGTACACAGGTATAAAGTACAATGTAACCTGACCTGCAACCTGAGAATATTACTATAAAACTATACTGATGAGACTGATATAAAAAGAATCAAACATGAAATAAATCATCCAAAATGTTGGACTGTCGCAGTAATTGTGTTTGTTAATTGTTAATAAAAATATTGTCATGTTAATGAAATGTCATCAGTGAGATGTAAAGAGCCCACACAAACACCAGGGGGAGCATATATTCACAGAACCAGAACAAATTAAAGATAATGAAAAGGAGAAAATATATATGTGCCAAGAAATCAATTAGTTTGCAGCTGTCAAAAACACAGGCTCTTTTAACTTTCTTTCTTTCTTTTTCTTTCTTTCTTTCTTTCTTTCCTTCAGGAGATAGAAGAGGAGAGGAAAGGAGAGCAGAGGGAGAAAGGAGTGTTGCAGACAGCAGGTGCAAAACAGCTGCTCTCACCCCTGATCCCACCTGATGCGTTACCATGGCACCTACCACACAATCATTATGGTGTGTAGCCACACATGCACACATATTTTTCTTCTCTCTCAAAGTTTCTCATTCATGCTCAAATGCACACACAAAACCAAAAAGGCATATGCACATCAAACAGACTATACAGAGCCACTCGCTGAACTTCTTCAAACCTTAGATGTCAAATGTGGGAAATGCACTTCTTAATATGAAACGGCTATACAAGAAACACAGTGTTCTTGAGAAGGACAGACACGTTTCACAAGATAGCAGTGGCTCCAAGACATCAGATATCCTGAGAAAATCTGCTAACAGATAGAAATCAAAGATAACACTTTCAACTGAAATTCACGTTTCATCAGGATTAAGAGGAAAATTTTACGATGGGCCTGCTGGCTTTAAGCTTAGATATCTCTGAAGTGATTACAACACCAGATAAATCAATCATGTCATCACTACACCAGGATACACTACAGTCAGTAATAGTGGATGACTATGATTGTTGTATTACAAAAGTTCTGTCTGTTGATACTTTAAATTCAATGTGTTTATTCATTTTAAGAATTTCACTGCTGAGTAACTTCTAGCAAACAGTTATTTCATTCAACAATTTAAATGAACTAAAAGCTAGTTGAAAAATCATTTAAACCACTCACAAAGACACAAAGAGGCGGTTATGGCTCACTAACTGGCCCCACATTAAAGCCAAACAGCTAGTGACTCAGGTGTAGTCAGCACTCTTCCCATGGGAAGGAAGAGGTGGGATTGTGGGTAATTATTTACAGTTGGTCTGGTGGGTGGGGTGGGTAGTATGATATCATCCTGCTTCTGACATAGATTCGACCTTACACTCATATGAAAGAAATGGAGTACTGCCAGTAGGTTGAAATTATTCAGCAGAAAACATGGTGCTGTGCAGTAGTCTACTGTTTTGTAATGTTTTAGTAATGAGACAGTAAAAGCAGACAGGTGTAATCATAAGCACATGTTAGTGAAACTCTTTGTAGTACTGCCAAAGCTTTACGCACAAAGTTTCAGAGTACAGACACAACCAAAGCTATTTTTGCACAAGTAAAGGCTGAATGGAAATGAGAAGAGGTGGTAAAACAGGAAATGGCAGTTTGTGAACATAAACAAATAAATAAAATACCAAATTACATCTTTCAGTTTGCTCTCAGTTTCACTCACACTTTTACTCACCCTATCTTTGTCATCCACCACATCACACAGCATGTCATCCTGGTCCAAAATGCCTCCATCTCCATGTTCCAATCTGTGGACCTGGACCCAGTAGCTGGGGTCCTGGAAGAAAAAGAAAAAAGAGAGGGAGTATTAGCTCTGTAAAGAGATCAGCTTTATTTGCACCATATAGACTTGGGATTTGACGCCTTATGTAAGAAAAGCCATGCAACATATTCCTGTGGAACTGCCAGGGCAAAGGAATTAGCAGCTTGTGTCTCCTTAGGAATCAGCTGATCTAATCACCATGTGGTTCATATAATGATCCAGTCAGCAGGCACACAGGGGCTCTGACATGGTTATGGATTGACATCATGGTAGCAGTTATGAAATATTTTAATCCGCTGCTGGATGGCCTGCAAAATAAGCATATGGCTCAAACCTTTCTCCGAGTGGAAGTAGAAAAGAGAGTAAGTGTGACACAGGCACAACAGGATGTGTCATATTCATCAGTTCTTATTGTTACATTCAGTGCATAAAAGGTGACAACACTCCTGTTCAGTTCCAAAATGGCCAGTGACTTTTTTGCATCAGCATCTGAATATCATCCATGCATACATTATACATTCAGGTACTACTGCAAGTAGTCTAGATAAAGTCAGCATCAGCTCTGAACATCATTTAAAGTGCAATCAATCCAATATGGCCCTTTAGAAGGGAAACAAATAACTTTTCTCAAACTATGATGAAATGCTGTATGTTTATAAGAGTTGGTGCTTTGTAATGATCACAGCTAGTGTACAGTATGTAATGTGACACATGGACTAAAGTACAGTTCATCAATAGTTTCAGAAGTGTAAGTACGAAATGTCCATATGCCCTATAAAGAGATAAATACATATGCAGTACAGAATACTGCTTTCCATAGCACTGCACCAGTTTATTTATAGGACACACACGTAAATGTCTCATTTATATATTATACACGCCTTCAAATGCAGGTATTAATAGCCACAGTACAGAAGCAGGGAAGTTGGGAAAAAGTGGTTTAAAGTTTTCAGGTTGGCTGGAAAGGTGTTAGACAGAAACGTAATACATACTTTTTGGGTTTTTAAAAAAAAAAAAGATTCCCAACATACTGTAATGCTTTTGTGAATTTCAGCTTGTAATTTAAAAAAAATTACTTTCTATAATCCTAGTGTCTGTTGACTATTAGCATTCATACTGAAATCAGCACAATAAATGCACTTCGATACATGATTTAAAGGTCACCTGACCACACAAAATCACATAAATTACACTAGTCAAAAGCTTAGAATGGCAGTCACTGATACTCTGCTCAGCTAGTTAGGTTTTGAAAGAGTTTAGCTGGGTTTCTTCCCTCATGATTGGACTAATGCCTCATTTGGATATGTGTAATAACTAACTTAATTACACAGATGTGGGTTCATCAAAATGGACATTTGTCATTCACAGATAATTGCTAGAGAGAGTAAATGTAGTTTTAGCTGTAGCTCAGGCCAGCTGTAGCCGTCTTATGTCTGTCTATTTGGTTTCTTTGTGGTACAGTTAGACAGAGGGTCTTCTGGTCCAGAGTACCAAACCAGTAGTTACTGCACATCTGGCCTTGTTTTCAGCTCCGTTTTGTAGTTACTGCAAATTTAAGTGGTTTTCACAAAAATTCTACATGTCTATGGCATATTATTTTTCAAGTCATTATTATTAAAATAATTCAAGTTACCAAATATGTAGTTTACTGCATTTTGTAAAGGAAACTAGTCAAGCAGCTTCATATATAGTATCAACGTTGGGCATTCTGTAAATATTGTATATACTGTAAACAGAACATTTTTGAAGATTCCATGTGTGGTTTGGATGTTTGGTATTCAATAATAAAAACATTAAAATGAATAATGGCTTCTCTCCATTTGTCCTCTTCCTCCCTGCTCTCCCTCACTTTGGCTTTGCCCAGCTCAGCCTACAAGCACTGAGGCATGATGGACCAGTCAGAGAGGAGGCTAAATAGAAAGCAGTCAGCTCAGTGACTGTCCCTCCTTCACCATGTTAGGAAAGAATCTCCTTACTCCTTTGTCTGTATTTTGTTCTCACTCTATTTCCCTCCCTCTGTCTCTTTTCCTCCAAAACTGAGCTGTCTTTTTTCGGGTCTGTGGTTAAATGCCTTCATGCATGGCTCTGTTGTACTGAACTCCAGTGCGGTTCACCAGGAAAACTGGTCCAAATCATGAGGGGAATAACTGTGTGGTATTTTCCTTCCTTCTGAGGTTATTAGGAGGGAAAAGATGGCAAGTTTATCAGGGACGTTCCCAAAAGGCAATACAAGAAATCGGAAGCATGAAGAAAGATACAGAGTTAATGCGTGTATAGTAAAAATCTATACAGGGTTGTTTTGATTTGAAAGCCTAGCTTGAAACCAGTCCAATCTGGGAGAAAAGAAAAACAGTTCAAACTACACTACAATACCACTACAAAACACACTGAAAACCCAAAAGAAGAAAGACACTGTAAAAATTAACCATCTCATTAACCATCTCTGGAAGTCATTACAAAACACACACTGACCCTCAGCTTTAAACAAGGAAAAAAATATTTAAATGTTCAAATTTTGACACAGTCCATGTCTGTCGGCATGATCCTCATCCAGACTTGTTCATCGGATGGATTATAGGGAACAAATATGATTCTGAGAAAAGCTTAGCCACATAACTTAATCCCAGAAATGCACTTGGGATGGAAGAAAAGCATTCGAGGCTTGACAAACGGTGTTTTGATGTGACTTGGTTCAAATGATGTAGGAGCCTTACATCAGTGGTGCTTTGCCTCAGCAAGCCAAAAATCATGCTTAAGATTTCTCAGTTTAAGAACTCAAGAGTATTAGCACAGAATTTATCACTAACAGGGATTAGGTTGGAATTTGTGTTTTGGGGGTCATTTCTGAATGCTTTGGTAACAATACCGAAGTCTAGGGGTGCCTGGATAGCGCACCTGGTAGAGCCAGAAAACAAGAGCTGTTCATTGCCTCAGAATGAACCATTTTTATCTACAGTGGGATTACACTGTAGAAGCGTGGCAGTTCACCATGGCGGCCTCAAAGGATAAACGCTTCCTTGCCCATTGATGCCGCCATGTTGAACTGCCATGCTTCTACAGTAGCCCACAACAGACAAAGAAACAGATTTTTGGGAGTTTTCTCTTCTATCCTAAAGACCTGTGCTAGGACATGTCTTTTAATGTTGTATTCATCCTTAAAATATGGTTTTCCTTCCCAGTAATGGGTGATAATCTCATTGGTTCCATATCATATTGTCACATAGCATGATCTTGATTAAATTATAGCAGAGAACGGGCGCCCGGTTAGTTCAGTTGGTAGAGCTGGTGACCCATGTACCAAGGCTGACTCCTTGCTGCAGGGGCCCAGGGTTCAAATCCAACCTATGGCTCTTTGATGTGTGTCATCCCCCCCTCTCTCTGCCCCCTTTCCTGTCTACCTTCAGCTGTCTCTATCAATTAAAAAGGCAATAAGTAAAAAAGCCCCAAAAACTGTATTTAAAAAAACATTATAGTGGAGAACAAATAATAATATTTAGTACATGCTTGCCAACAAATTCTATGAGTTTGGCAGCAGTTTAGGTGCCACCTGAAGTGTGCATAAGCAAATGAACTTTCATCACATGTACCACATTTGAACACATATGTGCTTAATCAAATGTTCAACTGATGTATGGAAACCAGTACAAATGGATTGAAGAGAAACAGAGAATGAGCAGATCCTCAAAGACAAAGAGTGCATTGTGACAAAGTCATTTGTATTACTGTAGTGCATAGTAACAGAGGGTAGGGAGGACTGCTTGGAACAGCTGATAAGGTGTTAGCACACTCAGCAGTCAACCTCACATGGTTTCATGCACTGACAAAACCAAGAGGACCCAATTCATCTGCCCTGCTGCTGATAGGTGATACTTCTCTGGGCTGCTGTCAGTGGAAAAGACAATTTCCCAAATGGAATCAGTGTCATATTATCTTCAAGCATCCGAAAAGATATTGCTATACTCTCATCTTGTTAAGCCCTTCCAGAAACAGACTGAGATCGACACTGTTTCAGTCTTGGGGTCATTTTTACCATGGAAACGTCATGTGCGTCAGAGGAACAAAGCCCACATCAGATCTACACACCATGTCAATGTTGTTCTCAAGTGCAACCGAGTGTCTGTGTCTGAAAAGAAAGGGCTTTCCATTCCCAGACCACACAAACACCCCATCACTATTTAAGTCCTAAGAGTAACTCTGTACTTAACTATTTTTAGAACAGAGACAATGGGCCAGCACTGCATTATTTCATTAACAAAGGGACAAAAACCACAGAAACAAAACACATCTGACGAGTACAGCTTTGATGGACAATCTGACATGTATGTGAGGGGCTGGACGAAACGCTGAGTGAGATGTGTGAGAAATGTGAGAACAGCACATATCTGTCCACCTTACTGCAAACAGGAAGAAGGATTAGTGATGTGTAGAAACCAGTGCAACCTGTCTTACATCAATGTCGTGAAGTGTAACATTTAATTCCACTTGAAGCAACATTCTCTGGTCAGGTAGTGTTTGAAAGGTCAACCACACAGCTCCTGAACAACAGCAACTGAAGCACTCCACAGTCCTCACTATCGAACTAGATTTTCAATGCACACTTTCTTTATTTTCTTTCATTTCTTTCTTTTCACTGATGTGTTATATGGCATAACAACATACTGCAAGTACTTGTGAACTTTATAAGCAAGTGTGATTATAATTAAAGGGTTACCTATCTAAAACAAATCATTCAGTTTAGTGGATTCATTCAGTTCAATCATCAGTTTAGGTGTATGTTATATTGAGAATTCACCACTTTACCTTGCCGTAGGACAGACCTTTCCTATTGGAAACTGACACCTTATATCCTTTTCTCCAAAGCCACCAGACTTATTTGACAAAACAGTAATCTTACATTGCAGAACACGTGATTATTTATTTATTTTGAAACTAACTAACCGATCAAGGCAGGGGTGGCCCCGAAACTCTTGTTTTCTATCAGATAAAATGGCTGGAGTCTAGTGGATTTGAAGAGA